TCTCGATTAGTTTCCTTCTGCCCTTGTAATTCAGCCATGATTGTTGGGGTTGGCCGATCATCTCCGCTTCTTGTCGTTTCTTTCAGCTGCCATTTAGTGACCGAGACAGGCTGGGCAGCTTGTCGTCGAGCCAAACAATCTATACTCTGACGTCGACGTTTCTGGGATTTGGACAGCGCGGTATACATGCCGGTAGGAGAATTGTAGATGTACCAACGTTGATCACGTGGTTCAGGTGGCCTGAAGGTTTTTAGATTTACTGATGAGTTTGAACTACTGGAATTGCGAGAATAATAGTCCTCGTTGTAAAACGGTGTGTCAAAATCAAGGCACCGTCTGACCGATGTAGGTCCGTCTGTCTGTTTTCTTAGGCTGAGCCTATTGAATACTTTCTGGCGCTGGCCTTCACTAGGTTCATTTGAAGGTTTTGCTGCAATTACCAATTGGTGTTGTGATGTTGGCATCTGCATCGGAGACAGTTTCCCCTTAGGATCGGTCAATACAACGCGTGCCTTACAATTGCTACACAGAACTATCAGCCTGCTATTCCCATATTCACTAGAATCTGACATGGACTCGACTATGGCAGGTCCTGAGAGTTCGGTGGGTGGTGCATTAGAAAACAAGTCGATCTTGAGTCGAGGTTGGGAATCTTTCTTTAGGATCTGTGGTACCACTAGCCCATCATATTCTTCGTTGTTGTAGTTCGATATTGGTTCGACTATGGCTGGTCATGATAGCTCGGTAGGTGGCGCATTGGAAAATAGATCTATCTTGAGTCGAGGCTGGGAGCTTTGTTTTCGGATGTGCTGTACTAGGGTAAATTTGACCTTCTTTTTTCGTTTGCTTTTGGGCAAGCGGGCATCTACCATGCCTACTGTCGCTGAAGGGAATGGATCCGTATCAACCGTCATGCGTTTTTCAGGAAACTTTAGCTTTCCTTTGTCAATCCAACTTTGGATATCATCACGAAATACGACACAATTGTTTGTGGCATGCTTGGTCGAGTTATGATATTTACAATATGTCTTTCCTTTAAGCTCTTCGGCCGTGGGAATATTATGCCCTGGCCGAAGCTTGATGATTTTTACAGATAGCAATTGATCAAAAATCGCCTCAGCCTTTGTAATATCAAGGGTGTAAACTTTTGAAGTCTTCGCTGTTCCTTCCGTGGTTGAGCGAATTTTGGCATCCTTGGAATTAATTTGAGTCAACGCCTTGCAAATGTATGGTTTATCTACTACTGTCTCGGCCGCGTCCACGCTGATGTATTGAGACTTTTCGCATTCGGTCGCTGCATAACTAACTGTGGGATTTTTGTATATCGTCCCACGGGATGGGGATTTCGAGATCTTCTCTTCTCGGAGTAAATAATCATATTGCTCGACATGCTAGGCTAGTTCATACATATCTCGAAAGTTTGCCCCCAAGAACTTCTTTTTGTATTCCACATCGAGGCCATTCAGAGCGAGTCTGACAAATTCGACTTTGGGTAGAGGCACTCGGCACCAATTCCTGGTCGATTTGAATCTGGTAAGATAATCCATTGGTGACTCATCAGATGCTTAAGCCATCCTTGCTAATGAAGAAACTGACATTTCTATCCCTGGCCGATAAAACTGCTTGTGAAATTTCTCGACCAACTCCTCCCAACTTTGGTGGAATTAGGAGGGAGGTTAATATACTAAGCAAATGCTGAGCCGGTCAACGAAAAGTTGAACAACCGTAGCTTATGAAAGTCACTATTAACATCTCCGCATTGCGCAGTAAAACGAGCCACAAGTTCCAACGAAGACAGGGACGATTCACCGGTAAAAAGGCTAAAATATGGGATTTTGAAACCTTTAGGGTATTCGAACTGTTCCACATAAGTTGGATATGGATGGATAAATTTAGGGAACTTTGGCCATTTTTTTCATGGCCGAATCGATCATCTGTTGAACCTTGGTCATATCGATGGGTGTGGCTTCTACTCTATGGTCGGGTCTACCTGACCTACTATTCGATCCTCCTCATTTTTCAGAGTCAATTGGCTTGAGCCGAGCATGGATTGACTTGGCCTGTACAATTGGTGACAGATTATTTCTTGGTGGCAAGTGCTGGAAAAGATCGAAAGACCTGCCGTCGCTGACCTTACTAACTAGTATTTCGAGCAATCTGGTTTGTGTCTCACTGGTACTGCGTATCAAGTCATGCAGTTTATCGATTTCTCGACTAAGCGTCTGTTCAACCGTCCGAGACTGCTCGTCAAGTCGTTTACGAAGAAACGATCTTGTTGGTGGATCAGATCCTTCACCACTATCTTCGTCATAATCCTCCATTATCCCTTCATTGAGAATGCATGTGTTTCTGTTAGGGACTTCTAGACTGCGAAGCTGACCGCCGAGATTAATTTCCCTTTCTCGACGAGTCGCGCTTATGGACTCAGGTATCACGGCGTTAAGGGGATTCTGTGCCTGTGGCACACTTTGGCCTATGTTCTGAATTGGCAAATCAGTTGTTGATTTTCCCATTGCTGTTTTCTTTTTTACTGATCGCATTTCAATTGGCATGAACTTCGTAGTTTAGCACTAGGTCCCACTGGGCGTGCTAAAATGTTGACCCTAAAAACTACCAAGCCTACGTGGCGCGCAGGTCGAGTAATCTATAAGCTTACTACGTCATTCGGTTGAATGCGGGGCGTGCCAACTCGTTGGCTGAGCTCGACCGAGGAGTAAAATTTGTTGATGTTATGTTGGGTGCGCGGCTGACTTCTGCGTCTTGCGATTACGACCGAGGAAGGAACACGTCTCGGCCTCTTGGGTTTTCGAACCTGAAGACAAGGCTACTATTCTTACGAAGTTCACGAATCGTCGTTATTGGATTCAGTCACAATGATGGTATTCGTCATAGTAAACTCACGCCGAATTGACACCAAAGTGTAAGGGCACAAATACTCAAAGCGGATATAAGTCTTAATAGTGAACATGGTTCGGCCATCTGAATGCCGAACTCTAAATCCCACTTGAAAGTATCCAATCATAAAATAACTCGACGTGCAATGCACCGAGCTCAGTAAGCTGTAACACCTCACTTCGCCGAGAAGGCTAATGAGATGACCTCGATCAATAAGGATTCGGAAACCCTTCTTGACCGAGACTTGGATAGGTAACCAACCGCCCTCGTCGCAGTGCTGTTGATGCCAAAGGAAGATGCTGCGAGATCGGCTGATTCTACGGCGACAGAGCTATCTATGCCGACTGAAGATATCACTGGTTGCTTTCACAGTGCTGTTGATGCCAACGGAAGATGTGTCAGCGAAAAGAGAATAAAAAATATCAAAGTTGTTGAGAGAGTTTGCGCAGGGCAGTTGTGTGTTGAATTTGAGAGGCTTGAACAATGCACAACCTCTTCTATTTATAGCATCAAATACCCCCTAAGTAAAGTTAATCCGAGTAGTTAAACCCTACTCGGATTAGGACTTCTTCTTCTAGTCAAACACCATCTCGAGCACTCATACTCCTATCAGGATTTTGAACCTAATCTTTTTGTCAGGCTGTATTCAAAATGTGTCTCGACCTCCTCATCTCACCGGGACTCCTTATCACTTCAGGATTTCTGTTAAACGCAGAATTTCCACGCCTCTTCCTTATCCAGACCGCTCTTTTTCTCAATGGGGCTCGACTGACTCTAATTAAGTGGCCCATGAACAAGACAACCCTTAACAATAAATCCTTCCGGGCCGAGAATGATTCCACACTCGGCCCAAACCAATATTTTGGGCCTAAACATAAACAAATGCACATGTTAAAATTCAAACAAATCCAAAATTGTACATGTACAAGAAGCGATGAGATAAAGGATGTAAAAAAAAAAATAGATGGTTTGTAAATTGTATTATATAAGTTTATATAATTAATCGAGAGAATTTGGATCAGTGACTCAATATCTAGTGGGCTACATTCGAAAATTAATAAAAATTACATGGAAATTTTTATATAGCTAGGGTAGCCCTTAACGTGGCTCCTCTAGTGATCACATCTTCAATAAACATTATCTACATTAGGGTGAGGGTGAGCTAGCAATAATGTGAGTCAAATTCACCTTTAGCGATAATCGAACATAAGTCTTCTCATTTACAAGTGACGAGGAATACCATTAGATCGTAGTACTAAGTGACTCTTTTTTTCTTCTTCTTAAAAGACTAATATATGTACCATTTTAATTAATCCTAGTACAATTTTATCAGTTGGAGTCTGACGCAGTTTAGGGCTGACTCCGACTAGAGACTTACTATTATGCACTCCGCAATGAGACTCGAAGGTCGAAATCCAAGTTGTTTTGTAACAAATTTAAAAAGTTTACTTGGCACCCGTGATCTATGAATCATAGACTATGATCGTATTGGGGCTAACTCGAATTACTGCATGCCATAATGAAGCTTTATAAGAGTAGAATTTGCATTCCCGTAATGCAAATTGCGCATCTAGCAGACACTGAATGGCAAGGTTTAAGATTAGGGTTTTTTTGGTAGATGGGTTTAAGATTAGTGTTTTTTTGGTTGATGGGTTTAAGATTAGTGTTGTTTTGGTTGATGGGTTTAAGATTAGGTGAGCGCAGTTATATATATGTTTCTACTAGAGCATATATAAAGACCCCTGTACTTATTACACTTAGTACATCGGTCCGTGTTTCTGACACACTGAAAAATCTCTCGAAGTTTAACTAGAGTTTTGAATTTTTTTTTCTTTTTGCTCCATAATAATGTTGTTTTAATTAATTACTAAGTGTATTTGTGACCAAATAATAATATATGCCTTGCCACATTCTAAATTGTATCCAGACTAATTGTTTTTGTTTGGGGGAAAAAGAAGTTTGGTAGCTAAGGGTTGGAAATGTATTCCCCTAAGATACACAGGGACAGGGTGATTTGCAAGACATTCCATCAATGCTTTTACTTCAAGTGCATACATGTGTCTAGTTATATATCCATCCATTAAATTCAAATCCTATCCATCTTCCCCCTCCATAATTCAATCAGAAAAAATGAGTCTCAAAACCACATTCCTAACATATTTTTTTGCCATTTTTGCAATTTTATTGGCATCTCGAAGTCTCATAAGTATTCCAAAATCGTCATCCCTCAAATACTTTGTCAACCTAAGTGATCTCACCACCTCATCCTCAGTGCCCAATATTATTTCTTTTCTCATCCCACAAAGCATATTTGCTAGGCATCACAAAAAACATGAGGATGGGGGAAAAATAGGATCCATTTGTGATGATTTTCCACGTGGTTTTCCTCCTCCAGACACCAACACAACCTCCTACCTTTGTGTTGATCGAAATGGGTGTTGCAATTTCACATTGGTTCAAGCAGCTGTTGATGCAGTTCCAACTCCTAGCCCGAAGAGAACAATAATTTGGATTAATAAGGGCATTTACTAGTAAGTTAATTAATTAGCTTTTCAATTCCTTGATTTCCAACTCTTTTTCAAATTTTTAATACTTAGTTAGTTTTGTCTTCTCATGATTGATATTAATGAGAAACATGCAAAAGAATCAAACTATAGAAAAAATCCCTTTGCACAAACTTAGCGTTTGAGCAAGGGGCCAAACATACGTTGCCGCCTCAGATTTTTTAAGTGTTTCACGGACCTTTATATGATGAACTCTTGATTTTTTATTTAGAGTTTGATCATTTATTTTTGTCCACAATGTAATTAGTGAGAAAGTCACGGTTCCAAAAACCAAACCAAATATAACATTTCAAGGACAAGGGTATGAAACGACCGCAATATCATGGAACGACACAGCCAATTCAGCGCATGGCACATTTTACAGTGGCTCAGTTCAAGTTTTTGCTGACAACTTTGTTGCCAAGAACATAAGCTTCATGGTGAGCAACACAGTGTACAAATTGCATCAATCCATTAATTTTATGATTTATTATTTGTTTAATACAGATATTAACATGTCCAAATGGAAATTATGAAACAAGAATGTGGCTCCAATTCCGAAGCCTGGAGATGTGGGAGCTCAAGCTGTAGCGATTAGAATATCAGGAGACCAAGCAGCATTCTTGGGTTGTGGGTTCTTTGGAGCTCAAGACACCCTTCACGATGATAGGGGCCGCCATTACTTCAAGGATTGCTATATCCAGGGCTCCATTGATTTCATCTTTGGCAATGGAAGGTCATTGTATGAGGTAATCCTTCTCATTTCTGATATGCAATTTTTTTAATCCTGTAATTGCGTGAGAAAATGCTTTGCGGGATTCCTCTTTACCAGTTTGGCACATATAGAAATAATTCATTAAAATCACAAAGCAAAGTTCTTTGCACGACCAGACTATGATGCTATTTCATGGCAAAGAGCCATGTATTTTCCTTAACCTAATAATACATGAACTAATAATACCGACAATGTACCAAGTACTTTTTTTCATACATAACATATAAGTAAATTTTTTGTGATGAACTGATATATAAAACTACTAAATTAACCAGTGTGCTTCCTGAACTGCTTGACACAGAATTGCCAATTGATTTCGATGTCAAACCCAGTACCCCTAGGAACAAAGAGCATAAACGGCGCGGTTACAGCGCACGGCAGAGCTTCCAAGGATGACAACACTGGCTATGCATTTGTCAACTGCTTCATTGGAGGGACTGGAAGAGTATGGCTGGGTCGAGCATGGAGGCCTTTCTCTCGAGTGGTTTTTGCCAGCACTACGATGACAGACATTATAGCTCCTGAAGGGTGGAATGACTTCAATGATCCAACAAGAGACCAGTACGTAAACATTACTACAAGAATTTTGATAGCCATTTTAGATCAAAAACTCAAAACTGACATTTTATTTGGTAACTGTTCTTAAGTATTTTTTTATTTATTTTTACAAACTATAGCGTTAGTGGGTTAAATTATTAGTTGTTGGGAGGGGAGGAGATCGGTGGAGATCGAACTTGCATCAGAATGCATAAGCATGATTACTTTCCACCACTATGGTAAAATGCCATTTGCACACGATTTTTAAAGGACCCCTCAATTAATCAATATTCATTTTAAAAGTTGATTGATTAATCACAAAATTAATCTAATTGAAGTATTAATCATTTGTTTAAATGCATGCAGGACTATATTCTATGGAGAATACAATTGCTCAGGTGCAGGAGCAAATATGAGCTTGCGTGCGCCTTATGTACAGAAGCTCAATGACACACAAGCTTCTCTTTTCCTTAATGTGTCTTTCATTGATGGGGGAGATTGGCTGCAATCCATTATTAATTATTAATCAATTAATTAGACTCTCTTTTGAGTCTCTTTCTTATCTCTTCCAAGTGTAACATTGTGATTAATTGTTCATGCTCTCATCAATGTACATGACAACATTCAATCAAATAGGAACATGATTCATTGATTTGCAATCCTCAACGTATAAAGACACTCCATCGTTAGGTCTCAAAATGCATCAATTGATTTTGACAAGCTAAAAGAGAATGGTCTAGTACACAAATTGTTATAATACAAGTGACTGATACTTAAAAAAACTTCCAACCATTTGTATTATGATATTTAGTGTACCAAACAGTGTTCCCGACTCACATATAGACTACTTCAATGTCACCATTCAATCAACATAAGTTTGGCGCTATTCAAGGCCTCGGGTAGAAGCGTAGGAGGAAGTCGAATACAGACCTCCGATGTGAGGTAAATATTCTTAATTAATTAAGCTACAAATTCATTATAAGGGTATCATGTTCTTTTTATATCATTTGCTTCTATGTTGTTATAATAAGAGGGTATCGTGTCAGTATTTTAACATATAATATGAGGTCATGGTATAGACATCACATGATCGGTGGCACGTGGCCTTCTCAAATTCTTTTAAGAGAAAATATTTATACTAGTCTTGTACAAAATTTACAAATTTCTTTTTAAATTCTTAAATGTTCCCTCTTCAATTGTTTTCTCTTTCATGCACACGTCTAAATTCTACGTGTTTTGTATTTTTTTTTATCTGAAAGGATAATTTCATTAATTTGATAAAAGGTTACAAATCAACACAAAAGAAAGCAAAATAAATAAAATACATTGGGGAGAAACAGATACATAAAAATCCAGCCCAATTAAATAAACTAAAATGAAAACCCAAATTCCTAATTTTCCACTGCAAAAAGCAGCGTCCGCCGTCATCACCGCCATGAAAGCCTTGCCAGCAACTACCGAAGTAGCAACACTAGAGAAAACGATCAAGTAGTGAAAATGAACAAAACATCGCAGCATAAAAGTACCAAACCCGCAACAAGAAGCACACCATATCCATATTTCTTCACTAAAGATGCAGAACCAAAAGATAGTCACCAGATCCAAATTCCATTCATAAATCCCTGCAAATATATACAAACATAGTAACATATGGATAGAAGGTGAGGCTAAGGGGGTATGTAAAATACCCTTACTTTGGCCGAATCCGCAGTACACTTGGCCTCGGGGGAAATCCGGCATGTCGTTTGGGGAAGGGATAGTGAGGGAGGGAAATAAATTTGGCAACCATATTCGGCCCGGAGTCTGCAGATCAGAGCAAAGGATAAGATGGGGATGGTTTAAGGGGAAGGGAGGCAGATGGGAAAAGTGAGGGAGGGGAGATGGAGTTTTGGGTTTGGAAAACAACGGCCAGAGGAGAGGGAGGGGTGGAGAGAAGGGACATGAAGCCAAAAAGTGAGACAAACTCATGGGAAAATTTGAGACAAAGCTCAAGAAAACTGAGAAAAATCTCAGGGAAAAATTGAAAAAGAGAGAGGAGGATCAGGAGAAAGAGGAAAAGAGGAGGACAAGGAACTTGGACAAGGATAGCTACCAGCACCCAAGCCAAAGGCTAGGGCCGGCGGCAAAGGAGTTTGCAAAGTTGGGAAACCAGAGAGAGTCTCATGCGTTTTGATCGAAATAAAAAACCTTGTGTTTTGTATCCTTTGTTTGTGTAGAGAAGTGATAAGACTTTCTCGTGAGACTCTTCATAGACTCTCTTGTGGGGCTCTTCATGAACTCTCTACCACCTTCATAGTTCAATTTTCGTGTCAACTTTATAAAATATTGTGCCAAAGATATAAGATGACAAATAGTTTATAAAAAGTCCCACTTTTGAATAAATCTCCTTATCATTTCTCGTTGCATAAATGAGTGTTTCATTATTCATAAAAACAATATGAATAGACAAAATTAGCGCTTTCCTAAAGATTACCCTAATTTATGACACAAAGATCTTAAACTTTAACAAGTACCCCTTCGGCCCCGTTTGGGATTGAGGTGATTTTAAAAAAAGCCATTGTGAAAAAAAGCTGAGGGTCATTTTTGTGTTTGGTAAACTAAAAAAAATGGCTTATTTTGGAAGCTGCTGTGAGAATAAGCTGAAAATCAAAGGAAAAGCTGAAGCTGCTATTTGCTGCTTTGAAAAAAAGCCAGTTTTTTCAAAGCACACGGAGTTACAGTGGTCCTTTAATGAAAAGACACACTATCATCCTGATTTTTTTTCCAAAAGCACTTTTACAAAAAAGTTTACCAAACACTCTACTGGTTTTATTTTACAGCCGTTTATTCTCACAGCACAGCCGCTTATTCTCACAACAGTTTTTTTTCAAAGCACAACAATACCAAACCAGCCCTTCTTCCTTCGGTTTCCAACTCCGCCTCAAGAATTTCCAACTCCGCCTCTAGATTACCTTCACAACGCTATTAACCTTTTTCTTGAAAATTCTAAAATTAGCATATCCCACTTAAATTCCCCGACCGTACGTAATGCCTCGATCACGTAATAAATAAATAGGCATCCATTTTTTAAAGATGCTATAGAATTTAACTTTACACCAAGATCAGGGATCCTATGCCTCACTTCATGTGGAATACATAGCAAATTTACGTTTATGTCCTTTGCCGCTACGAAAAAAACAGAAGAAAAAGAAAGTAAAAACAAATCGGAAGGGCACGCGGAATTACCGCGTATTTTCTGAGGTTGTACTGTTTTACCAGGGGGCGCACAACAAATATATAGAGAGAGAGAGAGAGAGTGAAGGGTAAGGGGAGAGAGAGAGAAGCAGCAGAGGTCGTGGTGGCAGTGGCGGTGGTGGCAAATTGGTAAATTAAAAGCCCAAACCCCATTTTCTTAGTGGATTCGGATGGCAGAGGTCGAGCCCAATCATACTAACGGCACCAGCAACGGCAGTACCAATTCGAATTCCAACCCCGCCGATCAGCCGGACCGCCTTGTTCGTGTCTACGCCGATGGGATCTACGATCTCTTCCACTTCGGCCACGCTCGCTCGCTCGAGCAGGCCAAGAAATCGTCAGTCTCTCTCTCTCTCTCTCTCTCGAATTCGAACTCATCATTTACAATTGCCGTTTGTTGCTTTGATTCTGTGTTTTTCTTCGTTTTTGAAATCTGGGTTGCTTTTATTTCCGACCGTTACTTCGTTTTTTTCATGAATTTCATAGCTTTTGTGTTATTTGTTATCTGGGTATCTTTTATTTTTCTGTGATCTTTTGTTTATGCTGTGAAATTTGCTTTGTTCTTCATTGATTTGTGCTATGTATATTGATCAAATATCTGATGATTAATCGTGTTTTGTATGCATACATGCTTTCTTCATTTTGGTTAATTTTATTTGTTTCATGTAAGACATAAGCTCGTATGGAATATAACTCTTCAAGTATTTGGATAATTACAAAGATGGTTCCTCGGTTAAAACTTGTAAGCTATCGTTCTAGACACTATCAGGGCGTAGCTTTTTATTTGGTTGTTTTTCTGTTTTTAATTATCCAATTTTATGTCTTTGATGCTGTTAACTAGTGAAATTGATTTGTGCCATGCTTATACACATTTTCTTATGAGTTCGAATTGCAATTTCAGGTTCCCTAACACCTATCTGCTCGTCGGTTGTTGTAATGATGAAACCACTCACAAGTTCAAAGGCAAAACTGTCATGACAGAGTCTGAACGTTATGAATCTCTTCGCCATTGCAAGTATGGATGCCCTCTCTCACTTCTTCTACCTCTCCACATTGTAATTTTTCTTTATAATCTTGGTTTTCCAGATATGTAGAGTTGTTCTTGAAGCCATGATTTGCACACTCCATGTGCGTGTGTGTAATGTGTATTACTGACACAATGACAGAATTTATGAGAGTTATGTGATCAAGAACATGAATTATGTGTTTTGTTTGCAGGTGGGTAGATGAAGTCATTCCTGATGCACCTTGGGTGATCAATCAAGAATTTCTTGACAAGCATGAGATTGACTTTGTAGCCCATGACTCTCTACCGTAAGGAATCTTGATCCAAGTTCTCACATTTGAGCTCCAGTGTTATGCTGTTTTGGTGACTTTTACTTTTGGAACGATAATAGTATTTGTATCAATAATAATAATTCTTCAGATTTGTTTGTATGTTTTTTCTTTTCAATTTCTCTAGTATATTTCTCTTAGCATTCCATTCTTTTAAAATACATGGTATATCTTAGATCTTAGTAGATTTAAAAAGTAAGCGCAAATTTGTTACAAGTGACATTTATTATGAATTCTTTTGTACTTTGCATTTCTTGTACAGTTATGCTGATGCAAGTGGAGCTGGGAAAGATGTGTACGAATTTGTAAGCTCGAGACAAAGTACTTTTCTTTTGTTTCTATTTTTCTTCTTTCTTTAACCTATAATCTGTTGAGTGGTTCTTTTCTTACAGGTCAAAGCCGTGGGAAGGTTTAAGGAAACAAAGAGAACTGATGGAATTTCAACATCGGACATTATAATGAGGATTGTAAAAGATTATAACCAGTATGTGTTGCGTAACTTGGATCGTGGATATACAAGAAAAGAGCTTGGTGTTAGTTTTGTGAAGGCAAGATTCTTCTTGTTTTTTTAGTTTCTATTTTCTTACTATGTACTATGGTTTTGTGGGTTATTGATTCTTGTTCCAAATTGACCTATCTTTTGAGACGGCTAGTTTTCCATGGTGAAAAAAACTTTTCTTTCTGATTTTGTTTGATATAAACAGGAAAAGCGATTAAGGGTGAACTTGAGATTGAAGAAGTTACAAGAGAAAGTGAAGGAACATCAAGAAAAAGTTGGAGAGAAGGTATGTCTTTCTCATTTTACAATATATTGTTGTGCTGTAATTGCAGGATGTAATGAGAGAATTAGAATGGACTTAATTGGGCTTCTTATCATAATTTACTGATTGCCAAGGTTAAGAAGGAAAAGGTATGATTTAGGCATGAATACATTTGTATAGTATATTTGAGTTGCTATAATCACTGCCATTATAATGAATTTCATTGCTGGTTTCCTTGTATCATGTTGACTTTGGATTATGGCCAGTGACCCTGGAGGTCTTGAGGGTTCAAACTGGCATTATACAGAGGAAATCTTGGGACTTCGTTGCTATATTGTTTGATTTGATTTTTAATTCTTAACAATGCCTTTAAAATTGCATTTTCTTTAAAGAGCTGGAAACCCCAGTTCTTTTACTAAAGTCCATGTCTAGTTCCCGAACTCTTCTTGATAGTGTCATGAAGTCACTGCAGTATGTGTTCTTCAATCTCATTTCGAGGAAGTAGATGAATATGACTGTCTTTGTCCTTCTGATTTGATAATGTTCTCAGCTTCCAGTTCCATATTATGCGTGTAAGCCGAATAAAAAAACAAAGTCAAAGTGTTTTGAACTTTTACGTAACAAATAAAGCAAGATTGTCCAATTGACTGGAAGAAAGTTTATTAATTAGGTAGTAGGATTGCCGAAGCAACAAAATTGCTAGCTACTGGCTACTGTAAACATTTTTGGGTGCCTGATTTGAAGTATACTTAATAAGTCTTATGACATTCAGTTTTCATGTATGAACCCACATACACACATACATTTACATGAACGAAAGGTTTTATCTCGAAGTAATCAATTCCTTTCTCCCGATCTGAGAGAAATTACTTTTGTTCTTGCATTAAGCCTTCACCATCTCTGTGCTAATTACTATGTCGTAAATTTACTTTCTCACCATCCAATAATTGTTTATGTTTCTTACTGGTGGATTTCTGACTCGGTATCCTAGTTTCAAACTGTTGCTATGCATCGTAATGAATGGGTAGAAAATGCTGATCGCTGGGTTGCTGGATTTCTTGAGATGTTTGAAGAAGGTTGTCATAAAATGGTAAAGACAATATATGCATTACCAATTACATATAGACTGATATTTCTACAATTAAAAATTGTCTCAATCATTTTGGTGTGGGATTGTTTCAGGGGACAGCCATCAGAGATCGAATTCAAGAGAGCTTACGAGGGCAGCAGTCGGGAGAAAAATATCTGCTGGAAAATGGTAAGGTGGACAGTGATGATGGACAAGAATATTACGATGAGGATGATGACGAAGAATACTATGATGATGAAGAATACTATGACGATGAAGAATATTATCAAGAGGTATACGGGAAAGATGGGAACAATGAGAACGAAAAGGAGAACGAAAAGGAGAAAAAGAAGGATGAGAAAGAAACGAATGAGAAATTAAAGTAGTAGGTTGGTATGGAGTTCTGTACAATGGTATAAGGTTGCGTTTGATGATGATATATGAATTCCCTGCGGTTGAGAAGGGGAATTCGGTCGAAACGTATGTTTAGTGTAATTTCGGGTTTTTTTGTTCATCGCCAGTGTGCTTAGAACTCCATTACATGAGACATAGTTATACATGATAGTGCTATTTGCCTTTGCGTTTCTGCTTCCATCTTGGCCAACTTGAACTTTGTGTTCAAAAGGTTTATGCCTATGCATAGTCCTAAGGATTTGTTTGGTGTTTAGAATTGGATTGGATTGGATTGGATAACTAGATTTTAGTGCATGTTGATTGAAAAAATGGATATCAACCTCTACACTTGTCCAGGTTAGTGTTTTGCTTCTCTTCTACACTTGTCCATGTCAAAGATGGAAGATGAATTAGTTGCGAAAGAGCTTGTCCCAGCCAATCCTATAAAATGATACAAAAGGGATTGAGGGTGCATTTTTGCTTACCATCATAAATTATTGTGTATGCTTACCAAACACCTAATCAATTGACACGTATCATTTCACTTAACTTTGGTTATTTTTTTTTTTTTGAATCTGAAAAGTAACACTTACATATCGAACAACATGTGCTCCTGGTTTTTTAAGAACACAATTTTTTGCTTACGGTGATGGAGAAAATGATACGTTAAGTTTATGTTTGTTTTTAAAAATTCATAAAATCGACAAAAACAAAAAAAAAAGTTATAGCTCACAACTTATGTGAAAAATATGAATGTAGAATTTTCACATGATTTTTTGTGTGCGCAGTTACCAAAGCGTTTAAAATCATCTCTTTGAGAGTGATTTGTGCTCCACACGTGAGAGTTTCGTATAATTTTAAGCTGAAATATTTAAACAGTAAAGAGTTAGGGATGAAGATTTTAACAGTTAAATTCATTCAATGAGAGAAGGTTTTATAACATTTTTTTCTTCCAAAATTTTCGCATTAAATTGGAGTAATGGTCTTTTATTTTGGCCATTTGAGCTTTGGTTTATGAATTCAAAATCAGTGGGTATTGATTCTCGAACTTGTTACAATGTAGAGTAATAGTCTTTTTGTTAGCTCATTTTCACATTATAACAAGTTTAAGGCTCAATACTTAGATTTTTAGTTTGAGGACCAAAGCTCTAATTAGGTCAAAGTTCATGAATCACTGCTCCAATTAGCTCTGTCGCATAACCAATGAAAAACTGTGATTAATAATTTTGTAAAATATGAGATTGTTGAATTTCGGCAAATTCTTTTACTTACAAAAAAAAAAAAAAAAAAAAAAAAAAACCGTGTTAGAAGTCATTTGAAAGTGCTCTTAATATTAATGATAAACTCTGAAAGATCCAACATATATGATAACAAAGTCTACAATTTACTCTTACAACATGCTATATTACAAAGTAAGAAGGTAATTCTTGGACTGTGGGTTTATGGTCTTGGTTGTTGGAGCTTTCCATCGTCCCTCTTTAATAGTTTAATAAGTGTTACAGGTTTCTTGTTCTACTCGAAAACTTTGGATTATAGTGGCTTGTACTCTTATATGGGGCATTTGGTTTCTTCACAATCAAATTCGGTTTGAGGGCAAGTCTGCTTCTTTGGATTATGCGAAGTGCTGGCTAGCAATTAGGTTTCGTGACTCGACTCTTGTGTGTTTTTCGAGTGATAGCTTCTCCTCTCCACCGTTGCCTATTTTCTCAGTATTGAGTATCTCGCCGCTTTCTATTGTGGCTCCATCCTTTATTCCAGTCTACATCCTTTATTCCAGTCATATGGAGGTTGCCAATGGCCGGATGACTCAAGGTTAATATCGATGGGTCTTGTGCCAACAAACGTGATGGAATTGGGGGATTTTTTCGCTTATCGAAAGGTGGGGCACTTGGTGATTTTACATCTAAGACAAAATTTGTAACTTTAGTTGCCGTAGAAATTCTTTCATTAAGGCCATGCATATAGCTTGGGTAATAGATTGGAAACATTTATTGATTGAAACAGACTACATGTTGGTTATTCACTATCATTTTAAGGCTCCTAATGTGGTCTCGTGGTTTCTTATAGTGGATTGAAAGAATTGTTTCTGACGGCTTCGACTAGTGCTTTATAGGGAAATAAATCAGGTTGCAGATATTTTAGCTTTATTTGGAGCAGATAGTTATGTTTATTACTAGTGGTCTACGGTTCCAAATTTTATAGCCTCTAGTCATACTCGTGACATTTCATTTTGTCCTTGTTATCGTTTTCGTTGATGGTTTTTATCTTTGCAGATCTTGACATAGTCCTCCCACTTGTATCATTTTCATTTATTATCAGTAAATCTAGTGAAAGAGTCCTCACCTCTTCAAAAAAGAGTCGGTGCCTTGCCTAATCTTTCTCCATTTAAAAAACAATATAATCAATACAAAATTCTTGCCCTACACTACCGTTGACTGAAAGCTAACAGGTCCCAAAACGTAATCAGTAATAAATTTATACGGCGCTTGTTTGATTCCACTGGTCCCAATCAGGTTGACTTAATTGGCAGGAAGTTGTCAGTCAGTTAAGTCGCATAATACCTCCAATAGAAACTCACATGCCTAGCTGCTAGCTTTGGTCCCTACTTTCGGTCTTCACTCAAATGGAGATAGATGAACAGTTTTGTTCCCGTAGATCAATATGGTTCAAAAAAATTATTAGTCACTTACAGTTTAATTTTAATTAAACAGTATGCTTATTTAACTTTTTTGTTGTACGTTAGTTTTGTTTCTCCGTTAAAATTAAAATCAAACAGTGAACAACCACAATTTTCTAAAACTATGAAGTCTAAGAGCACGAAATATACATTCAGCCCATATTAACTAGCAAGTTAGGTGGTGTAACATAATAAACATTGGTAAAGTGGGACAAGATAGGTGAAACTCTCCCTACTTTTTCCTCAATTCTTCTTCTTCGTTGAACCAAAATTTGCAAAACCATTTCTCTAATCATCCATTGTCAAGTTTGAAAAACAACATTCACATATGCTTTTTTTTTTCAAAGGTATTCTGCTTTTCTTCTTCTCTCTTATCTCTTCTTTGAAAAACTTTTGAGAGTAGTCTAGTGCTTCGACATGAAAAGCTGCGAGTTTGTTTACTAGCTCCGGAGTATCTACATCTGTGAGTTCCATAGTCACCTACACATCTTTGGGTGTTTGAGCTGTCAGTTTTTTAAGCTGGTTTTGCAGAATGGAAATCGAAGGGGAGGTTATGGATTGTCTTAACATAACTTTTGAGGACAGTCTAGATTTGGAGGAACGATTTGAGAACAACATTCATCTGGTGAGAAGGTTGATTGCAGATAATGAACCCTCACAAACAGTGGTAAAGGAGGTCCTTATATCAGCGTGGAATAAGATGGGAGTAGTCAGGGTCCAAAAGGCGAAATCAAATGTTTATGCCATGACTATGGGAGAGTGGGAGAATAGGTCGTGGCTAGATGGATACTGGAAGGAAACCCTCTTCGCCCAGCACCGCCCTTGCCAACTGGCGAAAGTAAATACAATGACTCTCTCAAGGTGAAAACATTGTCCATAACGAGTTTCTTACTTTCCTTGCAGATGAGCACATCTATGACGGCCGGAGCCCATGAAACTCACCGGCGCCGCAAATGGGAAGGTAGGGATGTTGGTTTATACAGGCTGTTGGACATGGAAATGGATATTCCGGCGAATCTGTGTCTTGCAACCCGGAGGGACAATGAACAAATGAAGTCCTGTTCCATACGACCTGCCACAAGTCTGGAATTCCATGAATCCTCTGGCACTTTTGCAGGTTTGGTCCCCGGTGAGCAATATACAAGGACATCACACCTGGCAGGGACAAATCGTGATGAAGAATGTATCCCCACCACATGCTTGAATGTAGGTCATGATCATGGCCACATGTGGCACCCAGTTAGCTATGGTACTCAATTCACCAATAACACACTTACAATTGCTGTGAATGGGTTGTCATTGGATAAGGATTGGTATGATCCAGGTTAGTGGGCTTTTAAAAGCTGCGGAGGATATCAGGGTAAGCCCAACAAATTCTCCATAATTGACTGCTTCTCACCAGGAACAAATAGGGATGATATTGATGCACGAAGCCTCCAGATTGCAGCTTAAATAGTAGCTACTGAAAGTGCGGCTCACATGGTAGCTGCCGAAAGTGAGGCCTAAATGGTAAATAATGAAGGTGTAAATGATGAGGCTAGTGTTTCTGTTGATGACTCAACCCAGCCTGCTCATTTGATATGTGGTGAAAAGAGGTATGAAGTGAAGTTCTTAACATCACCAACAAAGAAACCATGGATGGCGTTGAACCTAAAGGGAGGATGCCCTCTGCAACCATCAAATTTAAAAAAACGGGGATACAAACCCAAAGGGTAATCACGGGGGACAATCTCAGGGACAAAGTTCTTCTACAAGTAGCATTGATGATGGCAACCTGTGTGAAGTGTTAATTAGTCCATCAAATGAGTTCGAGGATGCGGAGCTACTAGGGCTGTTGGGAAGAGGAAAGACATACATGTAGACCACATTGGTGGAGGTTGACGAAGCTCAGCCCCGTAGACAGCCATGAATATCCTAGTATGGAACTGCCAAGGGCTTGGGAACCCTCGGAAAGTTCAGGCCTTGCAGGATGTTATCCTGCAAAAAGATCTTAAATTGATTTTCCTTTATGAAACCAAATGCGATGTTTCATTGTTGAATGTGTTGAAATTGAAATTGGGTTACATGAAGGTTTTCAGAGTCAACTCTTATGGTTAATCTGGGGGTCTAGGAATATTATGGGCTGATGAAGTCAATTTGCGGATTCTATCAAGCTCGAAACTTTACATTGATACGGATGTTGAGGGTATTGGGGACACCAGTCATTGGAGGTTTACATGGTTTTATGGACACCGGGCTGTGGAAGAACAAACTCAATCTTGGAACATCATGCATAATCTAGCAATGACATGCTCTCTTCCTTGGCTAATCAGGGGTGGGTGTGGGGGAGGACTTTAACAGGTTGCTAGGTATTCACGAAAAAGAAAGGGGTCCAGCCCAGTCAGTAAATCAAATCCTTGAATTTAGAAGAACAGTCAGCGGTTGTCACCTCCATGATCTGGGTTTTAATGGTACACCATATATACTTGGATCATTACACGGGCGTGGGGTATCAAGGAGCGCCTAGATCGGGTATTGGCAAC